CTGCTTCAGAACTTGCTCATGGCTTTGGTGTGCCATGAATGCACCAAGACATCCTGGCACACATGGACAAGGTGAGGGGCTATACAGAATCCAATCGACCATGGAAAGCTGGGAGACACTCATGACTGAGCTTTATGGATAGCTGACTTCTGATTCACAGAAGGAGACTGGACCCCAACGCTGTTTAAAATACTGGCTCCTGGGGCTGGGGAGTTGGCTCAGTGGTTTAGAGCACTTGCTGTTCTTCTACCAGAAGGTTGATTTCCAGCACCCACAAGGCAGAACATGAGTGTAACTGCCTCTCCTTCCTGCTTCTGCCTCACAGTTTGGGCACCCTTATGCCCCTGAACCAGACTTAACTGGAGCTGGAGGGTGCATGGCCCCGGTCAGACCATCACCTCGGGCCTTCGGAGCTCTTTCAGTGGACGAGAAGAATGAGAACTGGAATTGTAAAACAGAGGGTCTTGATGGGGCCCAGACAGACCCTTCTGCAGGACCAAGTGACCCTTTCACCACTGAAGGGACCTGCTGGGGCTATGCGCTCGGCGCAGAGCCCTTGCATAAGCGTGTGTGACACTGAGTATGGTCTCCAGTGCCAAGAGGAAGGAGAAGGAGACAGAGAATAGAAAAGAGAAGGTAGCCCACTACCTCCAAAGTGGGCTAGTGGCTAACAGCACCTCCATTTCACAGAGCGGAAAACAGACCCTGGCTATTTGCCGTGGCCCCATGGCGAGAGGCAAGGACCTCGCTACAGGCTGTCGCCTGTATTCCAGAAGCTAAGGTGTTGATTCTGACGCATCCTGAGGCTGGGTCCCAGCTCTCTCCACCCACAGCTCTGTAGCCTCGGGCAGGTCACTCTCCTCTCTGATCCTGGCTGAGGGCAATGCCCTTGCCACTGCTTAGCACAGAGCCCAGAGGGACATAGCACACAATGGCGCAGAGGACTAAGCAACTGATGGTTGCCAAATTTAGTTGTCATCAGCGGCAAGTTGCTTAACTGTGTGCCTCTCAGTTGCTCTGTCCATCAAAAAGGTTCATAATAGCTTTATCCCACTGAGTGATCGTAAGGAGTGAGTTACTGTAGGCTGAGCTTTTTTTTTTTTTTTCCATAAGCACTTTCTATATATTTAAGGCTATTCAAGGCCAGCAAAAGATTATGGGGGCCCCAAGCATCACCCCGCCAGCTGGCTATAGGTTCAGGCACTGCCTCATCTGCCATTTGGCTATTATTAGGCCCAAAGTCCTCGTCTCAAATCCAGATGGGGAGTACGAGGAGCAGGCAGGGCCCGGGCTGGCAAGCGAATGGCTGGGAACGCGGCTAGGAGGCTGGATGTGGGTTTGGGCCCCACCCTGCCTGCAGCTGGTCCAGCAGCCACGTCTACACTTGGCTCAGGGGCTGGTGCTAAGCCCTCCCTCCCACCACGGCTGCCTCCTCTGGGAAGGTTCTGCAGTCTTAGCACTTTCCTGCCAGCCCCAAAAAGGCCAGGCTTGCCCAGAGGCTTTGAGTCTATGCTGCTTGTGCACCTACAGCTCTTTATGTAGCCATTGCAGGTTCCTGGGTCTTCTCAAGGAGAAGGGCCCACGCATCTGGGTTCAAATGCCAGCCCCACCATCAATGCCCTATGTCAAACTGGATAAGGATCACCCTATCTCTGAACACCCGCAGTTTTTAATTCTGTATCTACTTGACAGAGCTGTGTCCAGGCTTAAAGAGGACAGAAGCTTCAAGGATCCTAATGATATGACTGTTATATGTATGTTGGGAACTGGGGTTCAAATCATCGGAAGTATCCCCATGAGCCAGGCCCTCCTTCACCCAGCACCAGGGATCCCTGAAAAGTCACAAGAGGTTCAGGTTGCCCAATGAATCCTTCCCCTTTGCCTCTGGGGCTGTTTTTCTGATGACCCCTCTGCCCGGTAGGTGTTCCCTAGTCCCTTCTTTCTCTCCTCCAAGGCCAGGAGTTTGTCAAGCACACATGCCCAGAGACCAACAGCTAGATGACATCATGGGCGTGACAGCCTTTGCCAAACTGGTTTGAGAACCGGGTCATCAATGCTGCTCCTCAAGCTGCTGGCTATGACCATGGGGACCTCCGGCTCTGCCCATGAAGAGGAAGGCCCGACCAGCCCCATCAAGAACCAATTCTCTCTCAAGCTTGGCCCAGCCTTATTTGTCTGACTGCTCCCTTTTAGTGCCATTGCTGTCATCTGCTGTCTCCTGGTCTCATGGTTCCTTTCCTGCAGCCTCCTAAGCACCAATCTAAGCTTTGCGATCAGCAGTTTTTGGGATCCAGATGCCTTCTCTCCTCCTGCTTCCTCTGCAAACCCCCTCTCACTCCCCAGTTCTTCCTGTTGCTCAACAACCTGCTAGACCATGTCCTGCTCCAAGGGTCAGGCCTTGGCTAGCCCTGTAGCCACTTACAGGCATATCCTAAGGCTAAGATCTTTCTGACAGGCTTATGGTTTTATGTTGTACAGAGTGGGCAGGATGCTTAGGGAAAAAAAATGCCTCCACTTTGCAGAGAAGGACACCGAGGCTCTGAGAAGCCCAACGCCTTGCATATCAGAGGACCTGGACCAAGAAAACATCACCTTTCTTGAAACTGCTTGGTCCCAGGTGTGAGCTAAGACCCTGACTGGGGGGAGGAGCAGCCAGAGTGACTCAGGGAACCAATGCTGCCAGCTTGGTAGAAATCATCATTTTTGGACTTGTGCTTTGGAGCAAAATATTACCCTTGGCCCGTGGGCTGTTTCAGCCACTCCTCCCCAACTTGCCAGTACAGGGCTGGATGTGGACGAATCCAGAGCTTTCCTGATATAGCCCTTTGGCGGGCTGGAAGCCAGTCAGTCCGTCAGTCCTGAAGTTTTTACAGATGAACAGATAGAAACGCAGGCTTCCCAACGCCTTCGAAATTCATTCATCCTTCTCATCTGGCACTCGGGGCTCTCCACAGACAGCATACCACCCCTATTTCCTACTCTCTCCACAGTCCCTTTACCTCCTTTTCTCACTCACAAGCCTCCCAATCTTTGCTCACACACTTTATCTTCCCCGAAATGTCCTTCCATCCGATGAGTTTCCTTGTACTCACCTTCAATAATGTTTGGAACAGCACCACCTCTAAGAAGCCCTCCAAGATTTCTTCCATCTTAGAAACAACAAGGGGAGGACAGGTGCTCTGGCACCGGGCAAATTTCCACTGGTGATGGCGCCATTACCTTCCTGGGTTTCAGTTTCCTCCCTGTAGAATCCAGCTGGCTGTCTCGCACCGAGGGTATCTTGCTGACCTGGCATAGAGCGCCTGCTGTACATCCTCATGGGGTGTTTACTCTTCCCCGCCTAGGTCAAGTTCTCACCACCTGCACGGGGTCGCCCTCTGATGCCCGGATCACCATTGCCAGCACTAGACACTCTGGCACCATCCCTTGCAAGAAGGAAGAACCAGGGGCAGGGTAGGTCCGTCTGGAGGCGGGCCAGGGCTTGGCATCACCACCAGGAAGCCGGCGCACAAGCGCTAAACAGATAGTCTGGGCCTTAGGCACTCACTGAGGCAGCTGATTGATCGCACCTAGGGCGGAACAGGCGCTTCACCGGAGCCAACGGCTCCCACTCACGCAGACCCTGAGACTCCGCAAGGAGTTCAGGTGTTCGCAGAGGGGAATGGTGGATCGCTAGGGATGCAAGGTTCTCAGTACTCCGGATTGGGCCATGGAACGTCTTCAGCTTCGTTCAGAGAAGAAGCTGGTGAGAGGACTAGGAACCGTAGCCTCCACTCTGCGCCTCGTTATTTCGGTGCCTCTTCCTCCTCACCCACAAGCAGCTTCCTTCTCGAGGCCCTATTTCCCAATATAGACCACCTCTTGGGGATGTGGGAGGCAACGCGATGGCTTATAGAAATGGTTGGTCTTGGAGAAATCTGAACTGGAGCTCCCTGAGACAAGAGGGCCAGCCTCAGCCCCGCGTTCTAGCGGTTGGGAGCACAGATTAGAACCAAGGCGAGGTGGTATGGACCCCGGCTAGGTTACCACCAGCTCATTACCTACAGGCTTTTGTCCTCATCTGTATAAGGGGACAATTCAACTCTTATTTAGTTGTTGTGGACCTTATAATCTGGTACACGAAGCACACAAAATAAATAAATTGGTGCTTTTGTGGTTTTTATTTGACTTAGAGTTTTTACTTATCTGCCGGGCTCCCCCCAACTTTTGTCTCCACGCAGACCGCTAGGGCGGCTCCACAGCCTCCGGGGCCTGACGCTGGGTGGCTTTCCCAACTGGGTCTGAGCTCTTAAAGTTCCCGGCTGACTCTTAGTTTTGGGAGTATTGGCTCTTTGGGACCTTCAGTTCCCCCCATTTGTTGAGGGTTGAGGGGTTTATGTTTCCTGTTTAGGACTACGGGGCTCCCAGAGGCAGTCTTTAAAGGGTTTGGGAGAGCATGAGCAAGGGAAGACACGTTATGTCCGGTCCTGCTCCATCTCAGACGGTCCTGGGCGAGTCGACACGGGGTCAAGATGCTGCTGGTCACCCAGTCCTTGCCCTCAGGTGTCCCAGGTGTCCCGAAAGTGCTCTTAGAGCAAGTGTGTGTGTGTTGAGGCCAGGAGTGGGTGGAGTCCAGAGAGAGGACGTGGTCTCAGGAACAAAGAAGAGGGCAGGGAGGGGCTCTCCAGACCTCTCAGGGCTTACATGATCCCAAGATGTTTGCCCAGCTTGTGGTACATTCCGGACTTCGGCTTAAAGCCTGCATCCTTCCGAAGACCACCCGTGGCTGTCAAGGACACCGCGGCAGCGGCCCTGAAGACTACAATACCCAACAGCCTTGGGCAGAGAGGGGCGGGAGTTCATCGGGGGCGGGGCCTAAAAATTGAATTTTCCCAATAGGACCCGAGCAGGGGCGGGACCCAACAGAGAATTGGCTGGGACGGCTCGGTAGGGTGGGGCCAGCCAGCTGGCTGGCGCCGCGGGACAGGCGTCTACAGCAGAGTCCAGGGGACGTTGCTGAACCGGCCTGGGATCCCGGGCTGTGACGCCTCCCGCCCGTCTATCGTCCCTACTGCATCTGCCGGGTCTCGGGGAAACTAACACGAAACCGCACCGGAAGGGCGGGTCGTACGGAGAGGTGAGTGTGAGGATCTCGGGACGACCCCAGGAGCCCAGATGAGTCTGGGGGAGGGGGTGTGAAACCTGGATGTCTGGACCGGGATTCTGGAACTCCCAGGTCCGGGAGCGCCAACCAAATCACGGGAGCTCCAGGACACGGGATGAAGAGTTCTGAGACCCTGGGGGCGAGGCGCCTACGGACCGAAGAGGCTCCGCGATCACCTAAGACACTGATCTGTGGGGGGCCGATACCTGGAGGAGGCGCCCCCAGACCCCCACCCCTCCTCCCGCAGGGCCTTAACATTCCCCAGGACCCTCAAACTGTGTAGCTTGAAGCCGTGGGAATGGTGGCAAGCAGTGGCAGGAATTTCTGAGCAGACAGTCCCGGTATCACCTAGGTTTGGGAGTGGGAACACCCTTGCCCAACATAAGGAAGCACAGCATGTCCACAATACCTGTGACTGGCGACCATCAAATGACGCTGGGGAAGAGGGAGTTACCTCAGACAGAGCATCTAGATTAGGAGGCAAAGACGGCCCAAGCGGTGACTTGAACAGACGAGGTCCTTCAAACTCCAATTAGTGCGCATTAGGACTCCCCCAGACCCATTCACCGGATGGGATGACTCACACCAAGTGACTGTTGGAGAGAGAGAGACGGGATGGTGTAGGGATGAATCAGTAGAGGTGGGGGTCCTGAGGCCATTTCACTCACCATATTTACTAAGCATCTAGGTGTGCTAGACCCTGGATTCGCAAATCCCAGAGACACTTGGGGCTCCAGGAAGGAGAGAGTTGGGCTAGAGACTGGCACCAGATTTAGGGATCCATTTTGAGGGAGAGAGAATGGACAACAAACATCCTGGAGTCTTGGCGGCATCTTGGAAGTGGGACTTCAGAAGGCAGAAGGGACCAATATTTGTAGTAGATCTTTCCTGTCACCTCAGTCTGAGTTTTTCCGACCCCCTGTGATGAATCTTTGGCTCTCTCCCATCCTCTCAGTTTGCCTTAAGTCCAGAGGTTGGGTGGGTCACGGGAAGTGAACTCTAAGGGAATTCTAAGGGAACAGACAGGGAGAGCTGGACCCCTGGCTCCACAAGGTCAGGTCAGTTAACATCACAGGGAGGAAAGGAGTGAGAATGGGTATGTACAGAAGGCTGGCTTCAGGGACTGATAGATACATGTAGTTCCCATACCCACGCGAATGAGGGAGGCTGACAGCAAGACTTGGCCATGGGCTCAGCCCACAGCCGGACGCCCAGCTTGTGCAGAGAGGGGTAGGCTGGAGAGCCCCTAGGATGAGTGGGTGTGACAGGAAACTAGAGAATGGCTTGCACCCCCTGGTGGTAAGCACCCCTTGGGTGGGCCTTTCTGAGTTTCCTTCGCAATCCAGGCCTGTGCCCTCCTTGTTTGGAGCTTAGTCAGGATGCCAACTTAGACCACACTGGCAGCCAAGCTGGTAAGGCTGGAACAGGAACACCTACCTATTCTTGGTTTGGTGAGTTTTTTTCAACAAACTACCCTAGGGCAGAGGACAGTTCCCAGCCAGGAGCCACATCTCTGGGTAGGATAGGACAGAACTGAATGCTCACGGGCTAGAGAGGAAAACCTCGACAAAGAACTGCTGCCCCAGCAGCCTAACTCATGTTTGCCTCTTGCAGAATTCCCTGAGTGCCATCAGAGTCTCAGCAGGAGCCGACACGCTGAAGGAGCTAGGGGCCAGCAAGATGGCAGATGAGGCCTTAGCTGGGCTGGATGAAGGAGCCCTCCGAAAACTGGTAAGTACCCCTATAACTGTACTATTGGGCTGGGTAAGGGCCAACCCAGTGATGGCTACTTTTGCACTTTTCAGTACATAAGGAGGAGGGGTTTGGAGAGGTTCAGGAAACAGCGCCAGGTTGGTTCCATCTGGCTGATCCAGAGGCCCTTGTGGCATGTGCCTGTCCGTGGCCGGCGCCGAGACCTGGTCCCTACCCACCCCCAACTGTCATCTCCTGTTTAAACAGTAACTTCTGGGGACTCACCCATGGGCTGCTGCAGGTGTGGGAAGGCTGGATCCGCCTCTCCCCAGCAGCCTGGGCACTGCCCACTCCTGGAAGCCTGCCCAGTGATAATGGTAGCAGCAATGATTAATAAACCAGAGAACAACAGTTGGTGCTGAGTACACCACCATACAGAATGTTCACAGACGCTCCGAGAGCCCAGATGCTGCCAATTTGTGTGGTAAAGTCACATAACCAAACACTCCAGGTTAAAAGCCTTACCAGAGTCCAAACTCCAGAAGAGATCTTGGGATACCCAGGGTCGTGGGAAAGTCTGGGAGAACCATGAGAGAGAAATAGACTGTGGGCCCTTATGGGTTCTGTGATGTCTAGTCTGCCGTTTTCTACTTTAAGCCTCGGTTTCTTTTCTTGTAAAAAAAAAAGGGGGGGGGTGTAAATACAAAATGTATGTTGCCGTTGTTAGCATAGGGTTGAAGCCGGGTATGGACCCTGACTTTGGGACAGAGACTGGACTGGTCCTCTCCATCCTTGTTTACGATGTACAGAGAGTCAGTGGGACAACACAGCAGAACGGTAATGTGCCCCCCCCCCGCGCAAGTCCATGAAGTGGGCCCCACCACCCAATCCCTGATCTCTGTCCAGAGCCAAAAAGTAAAGCGTTTACTTTCTCTACTAGTGTCCCACACCGCCACCAATCCTTTCCCCTAGAGGCAGAGGCTTGAGCCACTTGGCCTAGTTGCCTTGACCTCCCGTAGGCAGTTAGCCTGTGTGTCCTGGGGCAGACGCAGTCAATTAACCTCTGGAGTTCAGGAGATGGAGGTGGGTCTCCAAAGATGCCCACCAGTCAGAGTCCTCAGGAGGGCCGCAGACTCGATCGTTTTCCACAGGGAAAGCCAGGCTGGGCTTCCACGCAATCCTAGGAGCTTCTCAAGCCATCAGGCGCAAGGTTTGGGAGCTGGGGGGTGAAAAAGCGTTTTGGAGCAGAAACAGAAGCAGTAGTTGACGGACGCACTTCCTCCCCCCCGGGGCTGGGAGGAAAGGACAAGGAGACCCGACCCCGTCTCGGTGCCGCGGCCCCAGGCCCACCCCAGCCCTGCGGCTTTGCCGCCCCGCGCGCGCGCGCCATTGGTGTGCCCGGAGCTGCGAGGGTCCCACCCTCCGGCCTCGTGGCAGGAACGGGGGGCGTCCCGAGCCCGGCTCCTCCCCGCGGGGCCCGGCCTTATATGGGAAAGCTGTGCCCAGCTGACTTGGGGAGCCGCAGCTGCTTCCGGCCCCGCTCCCGCACATTCCTGAGGACGGGGTGGTGGGCTGCGCGGGACAGGGGCACCCGAGGACAAGCACGCTGCGTGTGCCCCGTACACGTGTCCGCAAGCCTTCCACCTCCCGGCCGGGTGACCTAGGGAAGCAGCTTAGGTGCTGTGAACCTCCCTTCCTTTGCAGATGGGATGTTAAAGCCGGCGGGCGCGGGGGGCTTCCTGCCTGGCTCCTAGCTGCGGCGCCTGGCTGGAGACTGGGTGGGTGGGGCGTGGGCGAGCCCCGCGCTGGTGGCCACAGCCTGCGGGCCTCTAGCGCCTCCTGGCGAGGCGTTCCCCCATTGCTCTCAGTATAGCGGGCGGCTCTGGTCCTGGGATTGAGGGGAGGAACTGCAATTGCTTCTTGTGCAGGTGGAGGAACTGAAGCTAGGGACGCGCGGTCGTCCAGACGCCCCCCAGCAGCGAGAACAGAAAGCCACGGAACCCCCAGTTGTACCCGCCCCCCATCCTACCACAGGAGGAGGAAGCACCCTCTTTCCTCCCAGGAGAATTTCACTAGGCAGTTTCGGAAACCATCCCCTTTCCCCTGGTGGACAATAGTTCTTTGTATTTCCTTCCCTCCCTCCCACAGTCCCCTCCGCACTCAGTGGGGGTGACCGAGAGGGTGGAGAACTCTGAACACAGTAGAAACACTGTGGTCTGACCTTTTGGCGCTTGAGAGGGTGGGGAACACAGGACACACAGCAGGGATACTGGCCAGGGCTTTAGCCGAAGTCCCAAAAGGAGAGATGCCAGGGAGTGACCGGCAGAATAAGGTTCATCTCTCAGCCACCCCCATCTATTCAGGGTATCCAGTGGAAGGATTCCAGTTTCCAGATGGAGAAACTGAGGTACCCAGGGATTGTAGAAATGGCCAAGTTCCTATCTTGTCCTTTTATCAGGGGGTTGGAAATGAGGACCCGTGAAATAAAGGGTTAGGGTTAGTATCGCTGGGCCTTTGCCCTCTGGACCAGTCTGGACCAGCTGTCCCCTAAGGCCACCGATCTCCAAAGGTTCTGGGGAAGTGAGCATTTGTTCTCTTGGTTGTAATAAGGTCTTAGACTTTGATGTTTCTAGACCAGGCTACAGGGGTGTCCGGTTCAGGACTTCAACATTCCTCACTGTGACAAAGAGACCCCAGCGTCACAGCTATCATCAGTCTTAGAGACCTAGGCTTAAACTCTCAAGTTATTTGACCATAAACAAGACACTCAATTCCCTTTTCTCGGATAGAAATATCGTATCAAGAGTAGATAAGGGAGCGGGGGGCGCTTGGCACAGGCCAATAATCCCAGCACTCGGGGAGGCAGAGGCAGATGGATCTCTCTGAGTTTGAGGCCAGCCTGGTCTGCAGAGTGAGTTCCAGGACAGCCAAGGCTACACCAGAGACACCCAGTCTTGAACAACAACAAACAAACAAACAAATAGATAAGATGGCTGGATGGGCCCAAAAATTAAGAGCATTTGCTCCTCTTCCAGAAGACCAAAATCTGGTTCCCAGCACCCACGTCAGGTGGCTCACAACCAGTTGTAACCAGCTCCATGGGATCTGACCCTCTCTTTTGACCTCCAAAGGCACCCATACACATGCCGCGTCCACTTCACAGACACACACATACACATAAATAAAAATAAATCTTTTTTTTTTAAGGTAGAAGTTGGGCATAATTGTGTGTCCCTTTACTCCCATGCACAGAAGGCAGAGGCAGGCTGATCTATGAGTTCGAGGCCAGCCTGGTCTATAGAGCAAGTTCCAGAACAGTCAGGGCTACAGAGAGAAATCCTGTCTCAAAAAACCAAACAAACAAAAATGACAAGTGGGGATTTGGTGCAGGGTCTGGCACAGTCTGGGTCTCAATTAAGTTTTTCAGTATGTTCTGGCTTTCCTTTGCCTTCTGCTCCTGGCTGACTAGAACCAAGAGGAGACCACCCCTGAGTCATTGCTCCCTTCCCATCTTCTGCTCTGTCCCAAGGGCCATTCATTGTCCCACCTGATAAATTAGGAAGCAGTGACAGAGAGCATATGCCATAAGGAATATGCCCTGACTTTAGAGCCAAGCCTGGGACCTGATTCGGGGGAGACTTTGGCCTGAGCGTCGGAGAACTCCTCAGGAATGTGGCTCTTGGAGGGCTGTCCCCCAAGGCTTTGCCTGCTCTCTGCAGATTAAGACAAGCTGGTTAGTGGCTAAATTGGGCCAGTTCATGCTCCATGCTGAAACTGACTTATCTCTGCTCACCCTCCACCTCCCAGCTCCCCAGCTGAGAAGGAAAGACCAACCAGGAAGAGGATTGAAAACAGAGAGTTAGTCACCCTACCCTTAACTGTTCCTGTTTGCCTATCAGACCCACACTACAGGCTTAGCTGTGCCACCGCCTGCTGGCCAGCCCTGAGCTGGCCCTCTTCCTTCAGATCCCTTAGAAGGGTCGCTCTGCCAGGGGGTGTGGGGAAGGCACCAGGATTACCTGCTCAGCACAGAGAAAGTGCACTTTTCTCAACCAGTTTCTGTCAGGTCCCCCCAACTTCCCATGGCCTGCCGGGCTGAGACACCCATGGGTGCTCCTGAACTCTGTGGACACCTGTGGGGCTCTAGGTAGACCCTAATGCCAGCTGCCTTATCTTTATCTCTCTAGGGGACCAGCCTTTCCCACTCTGGGTCTTGACTTCTCCCATGGTGGCTAGGACTTGGACAAAGTCAGTAAAGGGGCAAAAGCAACCCCCAGCCAAGCAGGGAGTTAGAACTCTACAGCACCTGTCTCTGCCTCAGTTTCCTTACCTCCCTATCTAACATCTTTTCCAGCAGGGCCCTGCTACTCTGGGACTAGATCACCAGGGTTCAACTACCTGCATCACCCTTCCCTTTCCAGAGACCCTTATTGCTAGCTCAGGAGAGTGTCCACACTCTTCCTGCTGTGGCTTCCTGGTCTAAATGGTCAATGGAAGACTCTGGAGAGCAAGTCACAAAAACGAGTGCCCGACTGCTTGGCACCTGGCTTGTGTCAGTGGTTGCCGTCTCTGCACTCACAGAAGGTGGCCTTGGCACCACAGCGCTCAGTGGGCTCCTCAGGATCTTCGGCACTATGAGCGAGGTGTCCCCTAAAGCCCCTGAGTGGGAGGCAGGCACGTGGAAGGCTTATGGTAGAGAGCCTGGGGACAAGCCACTCATTGTGTCCCGGGCAGAACCGTGGGCAGTGGTGCCAGTCCTTTGCCCCTGACAGAATGCCTCTCCCCTCACTCCCACCTGCATTGCAGCTGGAGGTCACAGCAGATCTGGCAGAGCGGCGGCGGATCCGCTCGGCCATCCGGGAGCTGCAGCGGCAGGAGCTAGAACGAGAGGAGGAGGCTCTGGCGTCCAAACGGTTCCGTGCAGAACGGCAAGACAACAAGGAGAACTGGCTACAGTGAGTAGCAGAGCGGGGGCTGGGCTTTTCCAGTGCAGATAGGCTAAGGATCAGCCCATGTGGAAGCTGGTGTGTCTGTTGTCTGTGAGCATTGGAATGCACAGGGATAGGGACCAAGTACCAACTGTGGCTATGCAGTGTGGGTAGCATGTGGCATTGGTGCCTGTACCCATATATGTACATATGTGTGTATTTATATATATATGTATATATATATATATATATACATATATATACATATATATATATTAATGATTGCTCAGAGGTTCTACACAGACTGCTCCATGTCTCTCTGCCAAGGTTCAGGTCTCTGACCCTGAACCCTTTCCTTGAGCCCACATCCTCCAGACCCTATCATGCAATAGCAGTTACACTCACGATGTCTCTGCAGCTCTCAACAGCGGGAAGCTGAGCAGCAGGCTGCCCTCGCACAGTTGGCAGGGCGGCTGGAGTCCATGAATGATGTAGAGGAGTTGACCACACTGGTGAGGCCCGGGGCAGGCAAGGGATAAGGGGAAGGGTAAACGAAGGCGCTCGTTCCACAGTCCAGCCCCTGTGGCCTGCCTGTCGCCCACAGCTCCGGAGTGCCGGTGAATACGAGGAGCGCAAGCTGATCCGGGCTGCCATCCGCCGGGTGCGAGCTCAGGAGATTGAAGGTAGGTGCTCTGCCTTCGGCCCACCACTGCCCTGCAAGCTGCTGCCGTGGGCGCCTCACAGTCACTTCCTGACACTTCTAGCTGCCACCTTGGCCGGGAGACTGTGCAGTAGACTTCCCAGGAGCGGCTCCCAAGAGGACAGCAGGAGGCCAGCAGCACACAGATTGGACCCTGGTAAGGTAAGGAGATGGGTGTGGAGGGAGGGTGAGCCGTTGTCTTGTGCCTCTTGAGGCCAGTAGTACGGGGCATAGTACCTGGGCGCCTTTGCTGTGCTGTCGTTTGGCTGGGAGCTGTCCCTTGGCTCATTTTCTTACACTCTCAGGCGACTCCAGCCATATGCCTTCCACTGCAGACCTTGAACTCAGCTTTTTCTCTCAAAGCCAGCCTGTCTACACAGCTCCAAGTTACTATTCCTTCCCCATTGCTACTCTCGGATACACTGGCTCCTCTCCTTCCACTCCTACCCACTTTCCACCCCTACCCCTACCACCCAGCCTGTGCTCAGCAGACAGAAGGATCTCCTAGAAATGAAAGGCTGGTCCTGGTACCTCCCCTGGCACCAGGGGACACCTGAGGACACCAGCCGGACACATCCCATGCTGCCCATTACCCTCCAGGCAGTCCACATCCTTACCTTGGCTGTCTGGGGCCTGTAAGTGGTGCTCGGTATTCTCTCCATACTTCAGGTAGTGTGGGAGAGAAGTCAAGACATGCAGTAGCCATTAATGGCCAGCAGAGGATGCTAGCTGCCCGGTCCTATACTACTCCACTTCTCTCTGGTTAGCCAGACTGAGGCCAGGGTTACGCTCTAAAGGTCCTTTAGGAATAGCAAGTTTCCTGTGGCCACCAACCACTGACCTTAGAATCTGGTCTGTGTCAAACCACCCTTGGCGCTGACTAGCCTACCTCACGCAGGTGTGCCATCAGGAAGCCAGGCCCAGCCCCTCTGCTTTGCATACCCTGCTCTGTCAGCCTGGCCCTCCACGGGTGGGGGTAGCCCTCGGAGTCAGGGAGACCTTGGTTGCATCCTGTGGGTCCGACGCAGGTGACAGAGCAACAGGAGCGGCAGACAGAAACTCGAGAGCCAACCTCAAGCCCTGAGGACAGCAGCCGGGATGTGACCACAGTGACACTCCTGCTGAGGGCCCCGGGCTCACCTGCCTCCCCCGATACTTCTCCCAGCACTGCTTCTTCTCAGCCTCTCCCAGAGCCTGCTGGAGCCCAGTGTCCTACTGCTGAGGCCCCAGACGGCCCCGAGCCGCTTCCTCCCTCTCCGGGAGCCCCCAGCCCTGAGCCCCCCATGTCACCAGCACCCCCCAGCTCTCGGGGACAGGTCATCAGCAAGGTGAGTTTAGTGAGAGGCGGGCATGCCAGACGGGTGAGTTCCTTGGTCTGAGAGCCCCTTCCTATGTGGTGCCTCCCTTGCAGCCCCTGCCTGGCCCCGCAGAGCCCTCTGATACCTTGGGCCCCGCCAGAGGCTCCTCCAACAGTAAGAGAGCAGGTGAGGATCCCTTACAGGTTTCTGCTTCCCCTGTCCAGTCCCGTCTCTCCCCCACTCCCTACCCCTTCCCCTTCCCCAGCCTATAGGATGATGGGTTCTGATGCTCTAGCTTCCTCAGGTTCAGGCAGTCCCCAGGACACTCCCCACCACAGCCCCTGAGGTGTTCCCGCCCCTGGCCAGGCCCAGCCCTGCCACCCATGGCCAGAGGCCTCCTTACAGCCTTGAAAGGCAACAGGCCTCAGGCACATTCTTCTCCCCAATAAGGGAGTATACCCATCACACAGCTGGATCTATGGGCAGTACTGGGGGGGGGGGGGGGAAGCTGTCCCTTAGTCCCATCAGTATGGAGAATCTGGATACCTTCCTCTGGCCCTAACTTAGCACTGGCCCCTAAGAGTGCTCACGTCACCCTGGGGTGAGTGCAGGAGAGAAAGGGGGTGCCTGAAGGAGAGCTGCAGCTGAGGAGGCAGGGAGGCTACAGAGGTGTTGAGGAGAGGAGCATGACGTGGACTCCACCCCAGCATCCACCTTCCTTTCCTCCCCCGCCCCCACTCCATGGCTGCCACATACTCACCAACCTACCAGACCCAGCTGAACGGCAACCCTGCCGGCGCTCCCTATCTGTGCTCAGTCCCCAACAGCCAACCCCAAATCGAGGTACTGCCCATGTTTACCATCCCCAGGATCTGGGCAGTCCCTGTCCTACCCAGCCACTGACAGTCTTCCTGTCTCTTCCAGAGCCAACCCCCCTTGCAGGGCCGTCCCAGTTCCAACGGGCTGGCTCTGTCAGAGACCGAGTGCGAAAGTTCACGTCTGACTCTCCTGTGGTTGCCAGGCTCCAGGATGGCCCATCCCGAACAGCCCTCACTTCGCTGACCCCCACAAGGCTCCCGGGCCCTTCCCTCATCACTACCACCTCTGCCTCCTCCTCCTCCTCCTCCTCCTCCTCC